GCAATGCATACATACACATAAAATAAAAACAATAAATGAAGAAGAAGAAACCAGTAAAGGGGAAGAAGGGAAAGCAGGGGAGGAGGAAGTAAAGCAATGATGTGGTTTAGGTTCAAGGTGAAGTCTTCCACCTCAGGGAGTTCCCAACCCCTCAGAGTGCCTCCCAACTCCAGGGAGTCAAGGGAGCCCAGTGGCCATTGAGCATAGCATCAGACATTGCCCAAGAAATGCCAGGGAAGGGTGGGAACTTCTAGACACACTCCTCTTTCAGTGCCAGTACACAGCAGCTTTGAAAGTTGATGAGGCTTGTGCTGTCTTAGAGGGGGCTAGGATGACAGGCTGAAAGGATCCTGGTCTCACCAAGCATCATCAGAACTCAAGGCCTGGAGGTTCCCTCTCCCTCATCTTTCACTGTAGTATAGGGGAGACTGAATCTAAGAGTGGACACAGAGAAGCAGGTAGGACTGGGAAAGGCCTCCAGCATGTGGCTTCTCTGAGATATCCCTTTTCCTGGGCCAGTCTGTGTTAAAGATAAGCTGAGTTTGGTGCTCATGGATAAACTTGGGAGACATAGATAAGGCCTTTCCAGGGCTGAGAGGGACTACCTCTGTAATGGGTATGGTACCCCTGCTTCAGGTCCCCACTACCACCTCCAGAGCTCATGAGCACCAGAGTGTTCACATCAGAAGAGGCAAGTTATGTCACCCTATAGAGCATCTGCAATAGAATGATGGTATCAAGGCGAACCCCACAGAGCAAGCACCTCCAGCTAGGCTGGTGGCCAAAGGAAGGAAAGCCCTCTGGGAGGTGAGTGGGCAGGCTGCAGACTATCCCAGTTGTGCAGCCAGGCAAGGCTAGTTCTAGTGGCCACATCCTGGGGACCACCAGGCACAATTCATTGTCAGGGGGTTCAAAAGAGATTAGGGGTTGCAGGTTGAACTTAACTTTTCCACTGACTTCCTGTAAAGCTTTAGAAAAATCTGTCTCCCTTCTGGGCCTTAGTTTCTCCTCCTGTGCTAGGTATCCCTCCTGCCTGTTGACCTGAACAGGCTCAGGCCTGACAGTCTCTCTTTCCTCAGGCCTGTCCCTACCAAATTCAAACTGAGGAGGGTCCGCCAGCCTAGTCTCTCCCAGGAAACAACCTCCAGATGCAACCCACTTTGAAATGCCCTAAATAAGCTTTGCTGCCTTCCCAGCAAACAGCTGAAAAAGAAGCCCATGACCAGCTATCATCTGTGAGTGTGAGCCTCATCTCCCTGAGTCCTTATCTCCAGACCCAGCTGGAAACCTGATGTATTTATTTGCTCTGATGTATGTAGGGGGTGGGGCTCTGCCCAACCCACAAGTCTGCCAATGTGATGAGAAAGGATGAGAAAGTGACCTTCATGCAGATGGCGGTCCGCTAACCAGGTAGGGGCTAGGAGGCTGGGACTGCTATAAATCCCTCTGGTCTGCCACCAAGGGATGACCCTGTCAGGTTAGAGGACATAGAGAAGGCTTGGAAAAGTGGGGATAGAGACACCTAGAGCCTATATGGACTGGGATTAGAAGAGAGGGGACAGTTAGAGGAAGGATAGAAGGGGGAAAGCAGGAGGAGAGGAGGGGTTGGAGGGGCAGAAGCCTGTTGTAGGGGTCAGTACATAGGTCTTCTCCAGGGAGAAGAGAAGCACATCTCTCTCTTTCTCTCTTTGTCTACTATGTTGCTGATTTGCTAAGGTTAGTATTTCATGTTAGTTCATTTCATCCTCACAATTTATGTAGTATGTATTATTACCCTAATTTGCATACAACAATAAAGGCCGTTTCAGAACATCAAACAAACGACTCCATTTCACAATGTCTCCTATCACACTTGTTCGACTAGCTGACTTTTTGGAAAATTTCTGTGGTTAGCTAGCTGGCTTTTGTAATTGGCCTATCATGTTGGGAATATTTGTGTTAGCTGTAATATAGTCTAGGCAGCTGGTCTTGTAGAGAATTCCTCTGAGCTGAGTTTAAGGAAGTTCCTTGAGCCAAAAATGAAGGAATTTCCCCCTACTTGACAGCAAATACATTTTGTATGGGTGGGCAGGGATGCCCACACTTCCTGTTACTGCTTTATTTTGTCTTATTATTTATATATTTTAATGATGGGGACAGTCAGTAGAAATTCTAGATCCATCTCTCCACAGGCATCTGCTTCACTTAGGCCCAGTGGGTCGGGAGCTGACTCTTGGATTCAGAGACCAAAAGCAGATAATGGTCCTGACCACCTCTCCCCCAAACCCTAGGCTCAGCATGACCCTTGCCTAGGACCAGGACAAAGGCTGCTTTAGGGGAACATGTCCTCAGAGACCTCACCTACATCTCCTTCATGTCTCTCCAGAAGTCTCTACTCCAACTCCACCCTCACAGAGGGGTTAGCATTCCCATGACCACTTCTTATTTTCACTGTAAGCAGAGACAGGGCCCTGCCAGGATTCATGTACATCCTTAACAGGGGCAATACCGCCCCACAGGGAAAGGAAATTTGTCCCTAGCGGACAGCTAACAACCTTACAGAAATCATTACAGTCATTTCTGACTCAGTAAACAACGACAGTCCATAAGTACATCTATGAATGAAAGAAAATGATCTCTATTTTTAGAGGTTATATTCTTGAACCTGGAAAATTCTAGAGAATATACAATGCATCTCTTGTATTAAAACTTCATTGGGAGAAAAATAAAATTAGGACAAGAATTATATAAAAAGACTTTGGAGAAATGTGGCAGTAATGAAAGAAAAAGAGGTTGAGAAACACTGCCCTAAAATAAAAAATTAGAATTAGGGTAGGTTTGAGCAGTGGGACCAGAAGGTTGAGGGATGGGGGAGCTTTTGGAACCTGCATTTCTCATTGCCTGGGATTGGACGATCAGGAAGCCACTGGGAGACACCAGGAAACCTGCCCCAGCCCCCAGTCAAAGCCAGGTACCCCTGTATGTGAGTTATAGATGTGCCAGCCTAGACACGGGCTCCCTGTGGGTCAATCTCACTTTAGCCACAGACAGGGGTACTGACTTTGAACAAGATATTCCACCTTACTGTCCCCTGTGTTCATTGGAAGGATGTACACTAACTGGGATGTGGTGAAGTTGCTTAGCTGGAGGGATGAGGTGAAACTATTTATGCAAAATGGCTCGGGCGTGTCTGGCTCAGACTCCTTCCCAGTGTGCTAGCTGGGGGTTTATTCCCTTGGCTGTTTGGAGCTCTCACTCCTAGAGAGATCTGTTCATGTCTGTCTCTCCCTTGATTGGTGGGCCTTAGCCCCACCAGGGTTCAGTGAATAGCTGCCAGAGGCCCTGTCAGGTGCTTCTAGAAGATGATCCCAGGGAGAGAGACAACCTGAATTTGGGGGTGCCATGTTAACAGGCACTCCCCAGAAGCTTCATGGACTTTTCGGTCACTAAAGTCACAAAGACTTGGGGAAGTCTAAAGAGTGACCGACTCTACTTCTAACCTGATTTCTAACCTTTATCACTGAATGTGACCCTAAGTCTGATCTAACCCCACATCCTACCCTTTACCCTCACCTACACTGTAGGTCTAGCCCTCCCCCTGACTTCTAATTTACCTCACCCTTCCCCCAATTCTAACTTGGTCCCTACATAGTTTTCATCCTAACTCCACTGATAACCCAGTACTTCCCAGACTGAGATCACTCACTTCCATAGTTCAGGCTTGCTGTGCCTGTGTCCCTGCTGGGCTTATAGTCATTTAATATTTATTCTAAGCAGATTTTTAAAGAATTCCATGTTAGTTCCATTCTGAGCAACCGTATCTCAGAAATCAGCAAGGTTGGTTGTTTCTGATAGGTACTCAAATAAATAACAAAAGCTCAACAATTTAAAACTGTTCTACATGTGCCCGCTACTTAAAGTTGTCCTCTATGGTCCCAGCAATGTACACGGCACATTACAAAGGGTGTGGATACCTAAGCCTAAGCTAGCAGCCTAGGCTATGCTATTCACAAGTCTCCCAAACAGGCATGTCAGGCCAGGCATGTGGGCTGTGGCACCCTCTGCTGGCAGAACCCGGGAATAGCTTGAGCTTAGTTCCTCAAGCTGGGCAGGTCCCATGTTTTCTAACTTGACATTTAGTGTACCACAGCCCAGGCAGGCCCCACCTAAACCAGCTGTGCTATTCTCTTAATGCAGAAGAGCAAGGAAAAGTGAGACAGTACCCCTCTATGCAGATGAGCTAGGTGTGGGGTGGAAGCCAGGCTGAGTTTCTGGAGAAGGTCAAGGAACTAGGGCCTGCTGAGAGGGGCAAGGCCAAGGTTAGACACTGAGGTTGAGATGGAAGAGGGTACAGGTGGGGCTGGGCTAAAGCACACTTTCAAGGGACATTCATAAAGGTGTGAGTCTTTGCTTCCCAAAGGAAGCTGTGGGGCAGAGCTGAGCCGTGGCCCCAGGAAGCATGTTCTCTGCTCCAGGTCTTTCTCCCATTTATTATGTCAGGAACAGTTACTTACTGCTCTGCTACTCCAGGGTGGCCCCTGACTCTTCCTGGCTCCTTCAGGCCCAGAAACCCCACAGTTGTCTGCTTTGTCTCAGATACTATTTCATTCACTCAGCACACCATGTGTGTTTATTTCTTCGAGAGTAGGTTTCAGTATGTTTCCCAAACTTGTCTCAAACTTGCAATATTGCATCCACATCCTGGAGATGGAGACATATATGCTAATATATATATATATAGTTTTTTTACTAAGAACTGTTTGTTTTCTTATAATTTATAAAATGGTAACTCTCATCTCATCTTAGTCATCTGTGAAATAAGATTGTACATTTGTGTGGTTCTGTATATTAGAAAGCTATTTTCACAAACATCTCATCGGTTCACACGAGGATCTCACAAAGTAAAAAATAGTCCATATTATTTCATTTTACAGAGGACAGCCTGAGGATCTATGAATCAAGTGTGCCAGACCAGAGCCACAGGCTACTAAAATGAACTGAAAACCAGAAACCCAGTGAACTGACTTCTAACCCAGCAAGGTCTTTGTTGGTTGATGGGTAAATCCTGATAGAATCCAAAACTGCAGCACGTACAACATATTTAGACTTCGGTATTTTTTGGTCATGGGGTCAAGTTGAGAGAATAAAGCTCCAGGAGTAGAATGTGGGCACCTGGGACAGTGAGTGAGTTTCAGGGTGGTGGCACTGTCCATTCCCTGGCTGCTTACCCAACCAGTGAGCACCAATCCCTAGACAGTTGTACAGTGAGAAACACTACAGGTGCTAAGGTGAGTTCCATCTGAAACAACTAAGACAATGCATGGGCTGCACATCGCCTATGTCCTAGGCTTCCCCTCACTTCCTGCTTTTAGGATTTTACTGTCAACTCTAGAGACCTAAAAGCAGCAAGAGAGGATCAAGCGGTAAAGTTCCTACAGGCCCTGGTCTCCTGTCTCCTTCTAGAAAGAGATTCTTAAAGTTGGTGTCTCTTTCCCTGCAGTTGCTCCCACTTTGAAAGAGATCCTGAGGCAAGCTCTCCTGGTCTCCCTACTTGAAATAGTGGGTTTATATCCTTGATACCCTTAGCACTGAATAAAGGGCCTCTCACTCTACTAACTCTGAAAGACCCCCCCCCCCAAAAGTTGGGCAAGCACTTGCTCACCCATAGCTGGGAGAGCCTCTCCTCCCCAGGCAGGAGCTGGCTTAATGGCTCCTTTTGGGAAGATAGATGAGTAGTTTGTAATTGGAACACCAGGCTTTCAAGATTCGTATCTTTATTAAAGGCTGTGACAGTGGCAATAGGGCAGGGGTACCTTCTGTCATAAATTCAAGATAAATGGTACCAGAAGACAGCCGGCCTGGAGGGGCTGGGACTCAGTGGGCCCTGTTAGCCGAGGGCTAGGCCCAGAGCAAAGTATGAGGCAGAGCCCCAGCACTGTCTTGCCAGCATGACCAGGCTGTAGTTCAGTCTCCCTTCTCCTCCTCCACCCTTAGGCTCCCTCAGAACCAGAGCTTTCAAAGTCTTATAGGAAATACATCAGAATTCAGTGTCAGAGTTAGTGTTCCTGTGGTAGGAATAAACTTCTATAGACACCCACAAGATGGAACTGGGGCCGTGGGCATGCAGGCTTCACCCATATGAAAGTTTGAGGCCAGCAGCTTTCAAGGGTGGCACCCTGGGCTATCTAGAGGAACTCCCAGGAGCAGAGAGCAGGGATGGGATGGGATGGGGGATCAACAATGACAGGAGTTCTGCTAATCACAGGGAACAGCTGACCTCCTAGTGTTCTGCTTCTGATCTCCAAGGTGACCATGAGGTTGGGGACCAAAGTCTTGGAATGGGAGATAGGATTTAAGGGTGAAGATGCTTCTTATCTATTTATGCCCTGCTATTTATGTCTGGAAGTCCAGCTTGGTAGAGCTCTGAGATAATAATGTAGATCAATCAGCCCATTTCACAGGTGGGAACACTAGAGCTGTGGAAGGGGTCTTTTCCTAGTCACACTCAATGCACACAGCCAAGGCTTTCTCTGCTGCTCCATACTGCTCTCCCTGGGGATGGGGAGCAATGTCTATTACAGCAGTACTGCTCAGACTTGAGCATGTGCAAAATTAGTGGAGAACCTGTCAACACTGTGGGCCCTACTTCAGAGTGTCTGATTCCAGAGACTTGCAGTACAGCCCATGGATCCATGTTCCCAAGTGCTCATAGATGTCAATGCCTCACTGAACATCCCTTGAAAGAGCTGAGGATGAGGATGGGGACAATGCAAGGAGGGGTCAGGTGGCCTAATGAACAGAGAAAAGTCTGAAGGGTCAAAGTGTGAAAACAAGGACATGGAAAGAACAACAGCTTCTAGGTCTCTCTGCTGACAAAAGGCCCTTTTGGAATGAAAATGCTTTTTAAAAAAGTGAACACAGCTGGCTTCTGGCAGTAGGGGCTGGGAGAACCCAAATTCACAACAATGGTTTGGTTTAAAAGGCACTTTGGGTGCCCAAGGGGCTGCTCACATAGTGGCCAGCATCATCTAAGTGTTATCCACAGGAGCTGTCAGCAGGTCACCTGGGGCAGTGACTGGACATCAGGGAAATACTGCAAGGCCACCCGTGGTAGTTGCAGGTGGGGTGACCGGGGTGTTATTGGACCAAAGAGCCCAGAGGCCACACCTTCTTCTCTTCCTGGTTCTGGTTCTAGAGGGAGGGTCTAGGTCTAGATAGAGTGCCTTTGGCCTCTGCTGAAGGAATTTTAGAGAAAGGGACTTTGTTCTCAGAGAAAGGGCACCTATTCTGGACCAAATGGCAGCTGTGTACTGGATACCAGAACCTAGGAATGCAGGAATAAGTGAGACCTGACTCAGGGAACCCCACCCTCTGTGCCCACCAGCTAAGCCAGGCTTCCTCTCCTTTCATCTCTGCTGGGAGGCCTTTTTGGCCAATCTTTGGCCAGAGAGAGTAGAACTGCCTTCTGCTCCTGTCAAGGAATTTCCTTCCAACAGGCCTTGCAGGTAGGTGCTGAGAGCCTGCAGGTATTGAGCAAGCTGGGCAGCAGATGATGACGAGGTAGTCTGTAGGCTCAGGTAGTGGCCATATTTCTTCAAGCCCTCCTGTGGGTTGCTGCGGTATGTAGTTAGTAGTTCCAGGAAGCTCACGTTGTGCAGGGCCAAGAGGCGGGCCTCAGCCCGGGGCAGAGCACCTGCCTGAACCAAGGGCTGCAGGGAAGCAAAGCACTGCAAGCTACTAAAGGGGTAGATGTGCTGGGCCAGCTGTGGTCCTGGGGAGATCTCAAGGAGGCGGCACAGGTCTCGCATGGCCAGTACGGCAGCCAGAGCGCTCCGCTCGCTCATGTTTCTGGCCAGATAAATCTTAGCCAGGTTCCTGAGTTTGAAGCTGCTGGCCCCAGGTACACGCTCCCGGATGAGAGGCAATGCAGCCAGGAAACCATAGATGGCCTCTTGGAATTCCCACAGCCTGTTAATGTCATCTAGGGCCCGGAAGAAGATGGGGAGTCCGGGTCCCCACAGCTTATAGCAGGCCAAGATGGGATGGTGCATGGAGGTGAGGAAGCGGAGGAAGTGCTGCAGCCCTACCTCCAGGGAGACGGCCTTGGAGTAGACACTGAAGGCCTCTGGCTGGATGAGCACTCGGAACTTGCTCTCCCGGTTCACAGCTGCCAGCTGGCTAATTTTCTGGGCTAGGCAGGAGAGAAGGGCAGGGTGAGGTTTCAGGGCACAGGAGGTGCTGGGGTGGGTGCAGGGGGTCCCCCCAGGTTGCCAACCCACTATCTAGAGATCCCACCTTGGGCTTTTTGGCAGGCGGCAACAACAGCCTCAAAATGGAGCTTTGGCCTAGCTCTAATGGGATAGGGGTCAAAAGAGTTCACCTTTTGGGGGACTAGCCCTTCCTATCACACCTGACCCCGAGTCTGCCCAACCGTTAGGACTCTGGTCCCTCTTGTATTCTCTCAGCTTCCACCTACACCAGAGAGTCCAGGTTGTTTCTTCCCAGCCCTCCACTTTCTACTCCTACCTGCAACCCCATAACAAAGGCTCCCAGTTGGATCGGAGCCCTGGGCCACAGACAGCGGCCCTGCACATCCCTTAAGAGCATGGCCTGGAGCCTCCCCCTGAGGTCTGCAAATGACTTTCTTTTACTATGGGAATACTTGTTGCTTCTGGCTGGCTAGACAAGCCCCAATGTCAAGTCCATAACATGGGGCCAGGCCTAGGGCTGCTGGCTCCAGCAGGGGCATAAAAGGGTCAGGTAAAGTGTGGTGGGAGGGCGGCAAGGGGCTTCCAGGAGGAGTCACATCTCTCTGTGACTGGGTTCTGCTGGCCTCCCTGTGTATCCACTAGTAGAAAGGGCCCTGTTCTGGGAAGTAAATAAAAGTCAAGTTTGGATTACTGGTCAGCAATGAGCCCACACACTGTCCTATTTAGAAATATGCTTCTGGGCTCCCTGTATAGAGAAGATCTGGTCAGAAGTGAATTGTGGAGGTACAAGTTTCCCTCCCATGTTCAGGCCCCACTCCAGGCAGATGCTGAAACACCAAGGAACACCTGGCATTCCAGGTGAGTCAGAGTCCTCTGTCTACCTGACCCACCTGGCTGCTGTGGTACTGCCAGAGCTCAGGGCTGACTAGACCCTTCAGGTGGCTCTGCCTGCATTTCTCTTGGGGGCTCAGAGACTAAGATAGAAAGGGATGGGGTGGTCCTCAGAGAACCCACTTTCATTGTCAATCTTGAGGTCAAAGAAAACCAGGGGCCTGTCTTCCACTTGGGGGTCGGCGAGGTTCTCTTCCAGGACCCTGAGGGAACTGGGACCCTCCAGCTGGAGGTCACTGGACTCACTGCTGCTGTCGGCCAGTTCTCGGGAGGACTGTAACACAGAAAAGCCAACAGGTCAGGAGTTCAGAGGCCTAGAGGTTCCAAGGCAAGGCAAGTGTATTCTCAGGAGCAAGTGTGCACACAAGTATGAGAATGTAGGAACATAACAAGCTGGTACAGTCACAGCATCTTTGTGAACAACAGAGGGAGGTTAGTGGGAATTTGTGTGCAGGTATGTCACATTTGAGGCTTACACCTGTGAACCAGAGCACACACCTTAGGAAGGGAGGTGTGAGAGTTCAAGACCAGACCGGCAAGAATGAGTGTGTACAGATGTGCCTATGTGGAGATGTGTTTGAGAGTCAAGGGTGAGTGCATGCATGAGAAGTGTGAATGCATGAACTTGTGCTGACATAAGTGTTGGGGGCATGTTGTATTCTCTGTGGAGGCTCAAGAAAGGGCCAATGGGTGTGGGAGACAGGGCCAAGGCACTCGCTCCTAATTCATGTCTCTGAGCAGATCAAATAAGCATCACACATGGAGGCCAAGAGGGAGGAACCTTATCTGGAATCTCAGATGATTCTTTGGAAGGGGAAGGAGCTTGGCTTTCCTTGTCCTCCAAGCTAGCCTAGACCCAAGCATAAAAGGGAAGAGGAAGGCTGTTGTCTCCTGAACTCCACACTTAGGTGGACACACAGTTCCTGATCATGAGAGGGTCGTGGAGGGAGAGCTCAGAGTCTCCAATCCTGGGGACCCTCCCACTCTGCACATCCACAGCTCCACAGAGATGCCAGGGAGCTCCAGGACCACTGAGGCTTGCGATGAGGCTCTGCGCTCTAGCATCAAGGCTGTCTTGGCTGAAACACTGTTTCAAAGGCTCCAGGCCCCAAGGATAGGAAAGGCTCTACCTCTGAGACTTTTCAAAGGTACTGGGGCTACAGCCAGAGTGAAGCCTCAGATGATAATAAACAGAATTACTCATCAGCATAGTTGTTATTCCCAGGGGTTAAAATTTTTGTGACTCTCCTATGAATGCCACCTTTGGACATTAGCCATAGGGCAGGAGGAAAAGACACGGCCAGTGTCTCCAGGATAGTAGGGGGCACTGCTGAGATAGAGCTCAGAGGAGGCCTTGAGTCTGTTTTCTTACAGGCTGCCTTGGTTTGTCAATGGAGTTGTTGTTCCAAGGCACTGAGTCTTCTAGTCACTCTGGCCTCTGGCTAATGCCTCTGACCTCAGAGTTGATTGGCATACCTGCCCAGACCTTTCCACTATCCAGGTAAACACTTGCTTACCACACAGCATCAGTCAAAAGAAGTCATACTGCTCACTGGCAAGTTAATGAGGGGTAGACTTTTCTAGGAGTGGCTGGTTTTCTTTCAACTTGTATTGCATAGTCCTGCACCAGGCTCCCCAACTTCCTTGTTTTGTACCTAGTGACACCATCCTGCTGTATCTTCCCTGTGAAGACTCTTCTGGAAGCATCTCCTCCTGGCTAGCTGGGAGTGGCAGACTCCATCCTTTTCCCTTTGGGAGAATCCAGTCATTTTCTAGCCGTGGGCTTCTGACATCAGTCCCTCTGCCTCAGTGTTTCTATCTGCAGGCTCCCAGGGACTGTCCTCTGCTTTGGGCTGGTAGGCAGAGCTGAGCCACCCTGGACATAACATCCTTTGGTCTAGGATCCCTCTTGCCAGAAGCTGAAGAGTTGTCTCATTGGCCCAGTTCGTTTTGCTGGGCACTGACATGGCATAGAGCTTTCTCTTCCTTTTTTGTTCCAAAGGTTACTGCAAAAGCCCCTTTGTAGCCCCGAGTGCCTCCACCTGACTCCTTCCTTCTGGTGATGTCCCTTCAGGCTTCATGGCCAGCCTCTTCCAGAGAGAAGGAGTCCTGGGGACCACACAGCTGTACCTTTAGGCCACCTCCCTCATCTCCGCCACATCATTTATGGCAGTCATCAGAACCTCGTGCCTAGATCTTCCACTCCTGAGGCTGTCTTCTTTATGGGTGCTTCACTATCGAGATGCTCTCTTCCCTACCTCTGTGCTGTGACTGGAGGAAAGGCTGTCTTACAGCAGGGACACACTTCTTCCTTCACTTTTATCTGGTCTTTAGGAACTGCCACCAAGTATGTCAGGGGAGCCAGTCTCACAAGAACACCTTGCATTTAAGCCGGCCATCTGTAAATTTCAAGTTCACCTGCTCCTCTTAAACCTAGCGACTCAGCTTGGGAGTAGCTGGCCATTTAAGCAAGGCTTTCCTAAAGTTGGGGGCTGCAGGAAGGGCAGTCAACATACACAGGGTCTGGTCTCAGGCAGCTTCCCCCAACCAGCTCATTAAGAGAGCTTCCTATCTTATCTGCAGCCCCATTCCAACATCTCATTCCAAAAATCAGGATAGCTGGGTGTGAAGGACACAGAGAGAGACAGACACTGAGGAAAGGCAAGAAACTTGCTTGCAGAGGAAAAAGAAATGGAGACAGAGGACAACCTGAGAAACAGAGGTCAGCTCTGGAGTGAGAACAGGAAAGGGAGGAGGGAGGACAAACCTCTAGTTTGAGGAACTGTGGTGTGAGAGATGATGAGAGCTCAAGGATGGAGATGAAGGTTTAAAGTGCCACTGTGTATTATAAGCTGTATTCCCTTTATGGTTCTCTGAAAGAGGCAAATAAATACCTGGAAAGATCTAGTCTCCCTTCTCCCAGCAGTATCACACACAGCATATAATTAGCATTTTATTCAAGGCAAATGAACATTCCACTCACAGGGATGTGCAGCTGAATCTCCCAGTTCAGTGGTTTTTGATTTGGGCTAGGCATTAGTAGCATTAAAAACTCTGGAGGCCCAGGTTATACATAGACCATTCAATTAGAACCTTGGGAGTAGGACCCAGCAATCTGCAGTTGCTTAAACTCCTCAATGCATAGCCAAGTTGAGAACCATTGGTCTAACTATGGATTCATTCCATGTTTGAGTGTCAGCCAAACACTCAAGCCAAACCCTTTGTGAAGCCAGCCTCCAGGTTTCAGGAGTTATCTAGCATCTGCCATCAGTGCTCAGCAAGAGTCCTGACACTCCTGAGGAACTTTCTTAGCACCCAAGCTACAGTTGGGCTCAGTTTAGGAAGACACATGCATTTCTGGGTTTTTCAGAAACAAGCTCCCAGTTCTTGCAGGCTCTAAAGCTTTAGAGACACAGCATAAGTAGCAGCAAACCAGGCCATTCCACTGGCAGGCTTATGGCCTCTGTGACCCTTTTGCCTGCTGCTCCTAGGCAAACAATTTCCACTTTTTCAGCTAAGCACCTGGCTCACCTTTTCTGATATGCACACTCACCAGTATCATGGGCCCTCCCCTGAACCAGATGCTGTCCATGGACCCCCCTTTCTCTGTCAGTCACCACTGCCATGTCTGCCACGGGCTGCCCCCTCAACTGGGCCCTTTCTTGCTTCCTCTTGCTCCTGCTGCTGCCAACACACTGGAACTGGTCATCTGTTACAAAAGTGGGTGAGCACACCTCTCTTCTGCTCTGGCTCCTCAAACAGTGGCCCGAGCTAGGGGCATGGCTAAATGACTCACACACCCTTGCAGGGTTTTTGTTTTTTGGTTTTTGTTTTTTTTTTTTTTTTTTTTTTTTTGATCTTTTTGAGACAAGGTCTCCCAGTAGCCCCAGCTGGTCTGGAACTCACTATGTAGATCAGGCTGGCCTCGAACTCACAGAGATCCACCTTCCTCTACCTTCCGGGTGCTGGGATTAAAGGTGTACACCCGGCGGTTTGTTAGTTTTTAAAGACAGGGTCTCACTACGTTGCCCTGGCTGGCCTGGAATTTACTATATAGACCAGGCTGGCCTCGAACTCAAAGTGATTCAGATTTGCCAGCTTCTGCCTCTCAAGTGCTAGGATTAAAGGTGTGTGTCAGCATGCCCAGCCACCCTTGTAGGTTTTAATCATAGTTCACATCCCAGGAACTCCACAAGTGTCTTCCATTGCTTGCTCAGTTGCTCCCTCAGATGGGAAAGTCTGGTAACAGATACAGCTGCGAACTATGCTGAGGCCCCTTACATACTGGGTCATTTGGAAAAGGTTCCACTTTAACAGGCCAGTATCGTATGACTTTTCACTAACTGCAAGGCTGAACAAAGGCCACCAATTGGGAGAATATGAGGATGGGAGGCCTGGAGCACTCTGTCCCTCCCTCCAAGCTGGAGTATGGGGATTTTCAGGGAGGGGTGCTGTAGTGCCTCAGGGGTTTGGAAGGGTCCTGGAGGATAAAAGTAAAATGCATGAGAGGGGGACATGATTCATTTATTTCTTAAGTTAGGGGCTCCTGTGATGGCTAATTTTTACTCATACACACTTCTAGTTGGTTACCTCTTCTTAACCTGAAATGTGCCTTTCCCTCCTCTCTGGATGACCCCGATACCCACACTGATGGTGCAGTTGGATCCCCTTTTCCCATTCCATTTGCTACACTGCTGGTCACAGCACCTGAGCTCAATTTGCATAATGTTTGGTGAAACTTCTGGCTTCTTTTTCTCCTCTTTCCTTCCCAGGTTTCTACCTTCACCCAGGGTCAGTGGTAACTTGAACTTTCTCAAGGTGATGAGATGGAAAGAAATGCCCAGGTAGCAGAATACTGAAAGGAAGGCAAGGCTTGAATATTGGCTGGAAGTGAGAAGTAACTGAAAGAGATGTTCTGGAAGTCTCAGCTTGTATGCCCAGGCAGATGGTGGAATGATGCCCTGAGAGAAGAGAGGATGTGTGAGGTACTTATGGGGCATTACAGTGGGGCTATCAGAAAGTCCTAACATGCCAGCTTGGCAGACAGCAGTGAGCAGGGATATCAGCTCTGGGCAATAACTACAGTCAGAGTGGTCATACTTCCCCAGAGAACATACAGACTAAGGGGCAAAGAGACTTGAGAGGGCAGTGCTGAGAGCTGCAAGGGGGAAAACAGACACCTGGAGAGAGGCTGATCTGGTCAGGAATGGACTGAGAGGCTTGGTGCTTCCCTGGTGCCAGAGGGTAGGGTTCATCGGCATGTTAGGGAGGGGCAGGAAGTGGGATGAGGAGCAGGTGTGAAGCATGGATCAAGAGGGTGATGGGCAAGACATCTTTTAGTATGCTACATTCAAAAGGACTTGAAAGCATTAGTAGACAAAAGTGGACAAGTATTAGATGAAGTAGGGGCTCCCCCAGGATAGGGGTGTGTCCTAGAGGCAGGTGGACTTGCCCTACAGCCTGACAGAAGGGACCAATAAAGGCATGTGACAGTATAGGAGACTCTAGTTAGCTGAATGTCCACTATCTCACACCATCATAGGGGTACCTGTTTTCTCCCTGGAGCAGAAGATGCAGTCATCAGGTAAGAGTGAGGGTCAGGATGAGGCCTAGAGGACAAGAGTCCCTGCAGAGATGGTTGAGAGCAGGAGGGTGTAACCAAAAGCACCAAGGCACCCTCAGGCTATAGGCTGTCCTTTGCCCTTTGCCTTCACATGTCGCTTTTCTCCAACAGGTCTCCAGGGGGCAGCAGAGAGACAGCAGGCGCATGTATCCTTCCAGGGTTGTTTCTGCCTGGCAGGTCCTGATGGGGCAATGACTGAAGTGGGAACAGCTGGAGGAAGGTGACAGCATGATTGAGGGCTCAAGGAACAAGAGGCTGTGGTTTGAGTCAGAATGGTCAGTTAAGAGATGGTGTCAAGGCACACCGTGTGGCCACATGGTTGTCAGCTGAAGTGGCACACAGTGAAGACCTTTGAGAGGCCAAGGAGCAGATGGTGGGTGTTGAAATCATCCAGGAAGAAAGCAGGACCTGAAGGGGAAGAAGAAATCTGGGAGGCAGCTGGTCATATCTTCCCTCAATGACAGGAAGGTGGGTGGCTATCTGAGATAAACCAGGGAGACAGGATTACACCCTGAAAGTGCCTTCAAAGCCACCAGGTAACAGGGTTCGAACAGTTCAGATCTTGCCATTTCCTACCTTGGATACTCATGAGTGTGGGAGGAGGAGGAACATGTTCTCCTTAGAGAAGTTCCACGCAGGGAGGAGATGAACACCCCTGCAGGGAAGAACTGAATCCTGCATAGAATCTGATGGCTGTGGAATAAGGGCTCACAAGGGAGATGATTCAACAAGTATTTATTGAGCAGCCAGGCCTTGGGACTGACAGGGTCCCTTTGCTCATGGGCTTAGATCCTGGTAGAAGATGGGGAAAAGCTTGGGGTAGGGCTGGGACTGGGAACACAAGAGGGTACAAAGTACAGGAAGCTTCTTTCTTGGGCAAAGAGGTCTGAAGGGAAGGGTGGCCTGAACTTCAGTCATGCCATGAGAAGCCACAGAAGACTAAAGTCTCCCAGTTCAGAGGTCTGCAGAGCCCCCATTCCTTGGCTAGTTACTTGACCAGGAGTTAATGGCTACCTCCTAGCCACAAACTTTTTGGTGTGTGGGCTAGAGGAGGTACCCAGGGCTCAGGGCAGGAGTATCTGACCACAAGACTAGAGATAGGGTGGGGTGGCCAGCAGCCATGGAAAAGGGGAGCACTTAGGTTCTCAGAGGCCTGATAGGGGCCCAGGTCTGGACTGGTGGGGTCCCCCTTGAAAGGGTAGGGTGGATATAATGAAATTGGAAATACCTCAAGGGGGGCCTTGAACTTGGGGATTCTCCACTGGGGCTTTGTTAGAATCCCTGGGGGGAACTCCTGCCTGTGTACCTCCCATGGAAGAGGCATTAAGCTGAGAAGTCATGACGGAAAGAGGGAGAGAAAAAAAGTTTCTGAGCCACTGGTTTAAGTGGGGGGAGCCCCTGAAGGAGCGGCCAAGGGACCGGAAGGCTCTGCGTATTCGGCGGGGTGTGCTGAAGATCCTCTGTAGGCAAGCATGGTGTGCCTGGCCATCAGTAGGAGGCCCTACTGTGGCAGAGGTGGTGGCCTGAGACACAAAAGGAGACCTGTGTGAGGCCATATGGCCCCTAGGGGACAAGCCATAAAGAACATGATGTAGGTGGGTGGCTCTTCGTACTCTGTGTGAGCGGATGCGGTTCCGACGGAGGATGGCAGCATACTCCTGTTGAGCAGTAGGCTGGCTGGGAGACTCAGTGTCAGGGATGGCAGCTTGCTCATTGGCTTGCTCAGTGGGATGGTGGGAAGGCCAAGCTTGGGGGTGGCAGGCACCTCGGGGCAGACCTCGGGGGTGGGAGATCCAGCCTGGGTGAGAGGATCTTCTAGATCTCAGCAGGGAGTAGGCTGGCGAAGAGGGTTGAGCGGTGGTGTCCGGTGGCTCTGTATTCTTTCCAATACAGAATCTCAGACTGAGAGCTGGAAAGGGCCTTGGGGATGCTCAGTACAACCTTTCACTGTTTTTACGCTCTCCTTTTCCCTGGACTAGTAACGCCCTGCTCTCTAGTAACACATCTCCAGGGACTAAGGGTCACTGGTGTCATTCTGGGATGCTTCAAAGAAGTTTTTTAACATGGAGTAAAAAACTGCATATGGCCCTGTCCATTATTTGCTATCCTATGGCCACACTCTATCTAGTCACTAGCCCTCACTGACTGTGATTAAACAGGGAATGGACTCTTGTCTGCTCTCCTCATGGAGGACTTAGTGGACAGGAAATGCATAAGGAAGCTCTAAACAAGGGTCTCTAGTATTCCACAGTTGAGGAGGGAAGACTCTAGCCAGCATTTCAGAGGCATACATGCCTGGTGTAGTGAGAGGACTAGGGTGTTCTAGGCATGCAGGTGGCACTTGCAGACTATCTTCAGGACAGCTTAGGCTTTTATTGCCTTGCTGGAAAATTCCTGAGTGCAAGGCTAACCTGAGCATCACCTGCCGTGACCGTGGTGGCCCTTAGGACCTTGACTGCGGGGAAGCAGGAGTCCTGGGTTGAATTCTGTGCCACTCACCGAGTTCTCAGCATCCGAGTCTTCTGAGCTGCTGATCACCACAATGCGCTCTTCTGAAATGGAGAGGGGCATGGTATTGGGTCTGTCCTGGGATGTGCACTGGCTGGAATGAGGGGTAGTCACCCAGGGGAATCCTTGCAAGCCAATGGGATGGAGGTAATAGATGCCCTGTGTGTGTAGGGAGTGATGGGGTGTATGTGAACATTATCTTGTGTCTGCAAAGCATGATGTTTGGCACTGAGAAAGTTTTAGGGGAAAGGACTTGAAACTAGGGTACAGTCCCTCAGGCTTCCCACACTGGAATCACGGCAATGTACACAGTAAACTTTCACCCCTTAGCAATTTGTGGGTTACCCCTGTCATACTCAATGGCAGCACAGAATCTTGCTGGCTTTGGGCTCCCAGGTGGGATAAGAATGCAGAGAAAGTGGCCCAGAGGCCTGAGGGCATCATGCAGCTCTCCCTACCTGTCTGTCTAGTGTCGATGGTCACATGGTTGCTGTTGGGTGGGAGGATCTCTGTTTCTAGGATGGGGCTCTCAGGGCTGGGTGGCCCATCCAGATGGGGAGGTGAGACCGCCTTGGAAGTGCTGGGCCTGGGCTGCTCAGGGGAGCTTGTGGCCAACCTTGTCTCATTCTCCTCCTTGGACTCCATCTTAATGATCTTCCTGGAGCAATCAGTATGGCAGCACTTTCTCTTCAAGGGGGTGGTTGTCTGGGAGGCTTCCTGCAGAGTGGGGGGGGGGTCACAGGGCTGGCTCAAGTACCTGGGCTAACCCCCTGAGCTAAGTGCCAGGGGCCTATGGCATGCCTTTGCTCCTATTCCCTCTGCCATACAAACCACACCTCCGCAAACACGAATCCCTCCTAGGTTGACATGCATACTGGTCATGGCCACTAACCCACAACTTCTGTGGCCTCATAGCCCTGGCTGTCTCAGCATCCCAGATGGGCTGGGAGTGGTTCAAGCTTACTGGGGGAGCTTCTTTACCAGTGTAGCCAAGAGCAAGAGAACACAGATTAGATGTTGAGCAAATACTTGCTCATGAAGACCTTAGGAAGACCCCAATTGTCATCCAGCTACACCTCATTGTTAGCTGGAATCTGAGTCTTTCAGATTGAGACAGGGCTGAATAGTGGCCTTACCTCTCGATAGGGAGGGCCTTTGATGGAGAAGGCATACACCGGCACAGGGTGTGCTCCGGGCACTGATTGTACCACAGCCGTAGTTTGGGTGTCAGACAGATCTAGGGCCTGGGCTTGTGTCCGCTGCACTTCATTGGGCTGTAAAATCAGGCAACAAGAAAATCAGAAATGACCACAGACTCTAGGCCTACAGCCTGCCTCAGTTGTGAGCTTCCTAGCCCCAGTTGCAGAGGACAAGGAGTCCTCCCCAGCCCTCCCTTGATGTCATTTCCTTCTGACCTTGGATTGCTGATACCCAGGCACATTTCAATTCTTATGTGTACTAACAAAAAGGGAAGAAAGATACCTCAGGGACCACACTGCTTAACAACATGCCTGACAACCAGCCCAGCTTTCATACCTCTAGAGGCAAGATTCTCACTGCAGAGAGAAAATTCTCCCACTCAGCTAGGCCTGACCTCTTGTGAGCTCACTTCTACCCCTGAGCCCTAAGTCTGTCTGGACAGCTACTACACAAGTTGGACAATCGACTTAAAACTCTTTGGGCTTCAGTCATCTTCTGTAAAATGGGTATAGTAACACTTGATTCATATGGCAATGTGGATGACTTGTGTTCAATATCATCAAAATCCATAGGCGAGAACCTAATACTTATAGAATATCTCATTAATGGTGGTAGTGAGGATGGGTAATGATGATGATACTGGTCTGATTACTACTCCATGTCAGGCTCAGTGCTCAGTGTTTTGTGCGTCTATCTCAAAATGAAGCAGGGGCAGTTCCTCAAAAAGTGAAACGAAGAATTACCACATGACCCATCAATTCTACTCTTAGGTATGCACCCCAAAGAACTGGAAGCAGTTGTTGAAATGCAAACTTGTACATGGGGCTGAGGAGGTGGTTAAATGGCAGAACACCTGCCCACCACATACAAGGCTCTGGGTTAGAGCCTCAGTGCACATAAACTTGTACATTTAAATGTTCTATGTTTCCCTGTCTGACTCAGAAAAATTGCTGGTATGTAAAAGGCTCTTCTTCTACTTAATCTACTAACTCCTCATAGGCAGGGCTCGGAGACTCTCTGCTTCTGTTGCACCTTGAACACCTCATCACCAGTGTTAAAGAGGTAGAAGATATTCAGAGGGACTCAGCAAGGAAAAAAAAGTCATAATAACTGACTTAGAGCTTTAAAATCATAAGTATATTTTCCATTAACATATTGCAACGTTATGAAAAAGGCCTAGGAAAAAGAGGAGGGAAGACAGCTGAGCTGTTTCCACCCGAACACTCCTCATGTTGCTGTATTTTCTCTTCATCTCTTCCAGTCATATCAGTGTGATGAAAGTAAACAAACCAGAAGCCTCAGGAGGATGTGTGTGTGTGGGAGCTGGAAGCACTGTGAGGGCCAGAGCTGCCTCTCCTGACAGAGAGGATGTAGCCACATGCCCTGGTGACAGTTGGTGTTAGCCTTCCTCATATGACCTTTGCACCCACCCACTGCTACCCACTTCCTTCCTGAGTTCTATTTAACACTCAAGTGATGATCATGGTGAAAAGCAGGAGGTTTTGCAAAGAAAGGCACTGCCCAAGTTCAAGCTGAAACTGATTCACAGCATGAATGAGGACCTCTGCTCCAGCTTTATCAAGACAAACATGGGCACAATGTCTAGTCCTCCACACAAGACAGTAGGGGATCCCATGCTATATATTAATGAGCCACTGGCACCTGGAAAAGAACCGCGCCTGTGGGCCCAGGGTACTTTCCATTGTATTTCATATTGTTTCTTTGCGGGTATCTTCCATGATAGCACTTACATATGGCTAAGTAAGGCATGCCCCAGCCATTCAATGGACGATGCTGCCTGAAGAGAGGTGCCAGGAAAGTATCAGGAAGCTCTCTACCTCCTAATGAAGTAAGAATTCAGGAATCTACTGTTCAGTGAAAAGTCTGAAGCACAATACCATGTGTATGTACATATGGTGCTATGTTATTTTGTGCAAAAACAGAGGGGAAAAGGCAAATATCTGTAATCACAGTTGCTTAGAATTATAGGAAGAAATTCTGCAAGAAAATATAAATAGTGATTAAAGATAGATGTCTGCGATTTAGAACTGGACACATGGGGTGAGATGGGAGCGACATGTGCTATTTTATTTCTTTCTATGTTTTAATTTCTGACCCTGTGAGTGTGTAACTTATCAAAAAATAAATAAAAAGCATACTCTTTTTGCTTCTGAGACCATATATATGGGGATGCAGTACGCAGGACATTTAAGAGTTGGCCTTTAGGCCTTCCCCCAGCTTTCTGATTGTGGCTGAGTAATAATAATAGCCTTTCTCTGGACTTTAACCACACCTTCTGTAAGAGGTCTCAGACTCCAAGGTTTCTCATAGCTCTAAAACTCTTCAAGTCTGGCCTCCTTCAGGAAGTCTTTCCTGATTGCTACAACCCACAGCAATCTCTTTCTCATGGGTCACCTGTTGTGGCAAAGTTAGGAAGGCTTACCACTCCTGCTACCCAACAGAAGATCTACTGGTCCTGGGCTCAGATTCTGTCAGGCACATACAACCCAGAGTGATCAGAGGAGAAAGATGCCAGGTATAGGAAGGAATGGAGAGGGCTTATCCTTCTGCAGGGGAGCCATGTCTATGAGTGTTGGGGGGTGCTAGAAAAGGTGTCCCTGCATTTCTACCCAGGGGAGCACTAAGCCAGAGTAGTCAGAGATGGAGAAGCACCTCAAGAACAAATGAGCTCCCTGTACCTGGAGTCATGTCCATGAAAGCTGCATGTCCATGGGTCAAGGGCTCATCAGAGAGAATGCCAATATGAAACCAACCTGAGATACTGTTGTTCTTATATATGCGATGGTCCTGGAATCCATGGGACAGAGCTGACTCCTAGCCTCATTCTCTATTCCAATTCAAGAACCACAAGTTGGGGGGGGGTTACCTGTGCTAGGCCCAGAAAATGGCTTACACATGTGACATGCCCACTCCTGTGCCTGACCCCTCCTGATCTGGCTCCTGGCCCATTAAGAGCTACTCTGGCACTTAGGAGCCTTGTGCACCAGTTAGCCAACCCTTCCCTTTTTATTTTTTAAAAATATTTTATTTGAGCCAGGCATGGTGGCATACGCCTGTAGTCCCAGTACTTGGGAGGCAGAGGCAGGCGGATCTCTGTGAGTTCAAGGCCAGC